GGAGGAGGAGGAGGAGGAGGAGGAAGAGGAGGAGGAGGAGGAGAAAGATGAAGATGAGGTGGAGGTGGACAGGGAAGAGGACGAACAGGAGGGTAACGATGCCTCTAGGGGGCCTCTTTGGGGCTTCCTGGAGGGTGTCTTGGGGGCCTATGAGGGCATCTTGGGGTCCTCTTGGGGCCCTTTTGGGGGCGTCTGGGGCCCTGTGAGGGGTTTCGTAGCCTTCGGATGCCGTCTTGGGGATCCCGCGCTTTATGGTAGAGTTGGAGGTTTATGAGGCCGCCTCGAAGCCCTCTTAAGGTCGTGTTGGGGGTCTCTTGGCCCGGCTTGGGCCCTTCTGGGGCTTTCTGGGGAAATCGTGGGACTGTCTAGGAGGCTCTGGGGCCGTCTTCGGATGTCGGAAGCCCGAAGTGGCGAAGACACAAAGGACAATTGACAAATTTTGCAGGGGGATCAATGAAGTTTTGGCCTCCTGGAGGTCCTCGTGGGGCGCTCGTGGAGGCTCCAGGACCTTGGGCCATCAGGATGGCATCTAGGACCGTCTTGGAGTCATATCGGGCTGATCTGGAGGCCATCTTGGAACGCCTTGGGCCGTTTTGGAGGCCATCTTTAGGAACCAGATTGGGCGTCTTGGAGGTGGGGGAAGCTCCGTTGTGGGATGCAGCGTTTTTCCGGGCGGGCCAGAGAACTATTGTGAATATGTTGGCAGGTTTATAACCAGAAAATCCAACGCGCCAGTCACCCCTTGTGATAAACACAGGGAGCGGCGGATAGGAGTGATTTTCAGCATATCCCGCCACTGCGCCTGGCTTTATATTCGAGGTTCAGAGGCCTCTTGGATGATTGGGGGGTTTCTTGGAAGGTTTCCCGGGAGCCTCTTGCAGGCGGTTTTTGGTATGTTTTGGGGCCCCTCGGGGGGCCTCTTTGGGCTTGCTTTGGGCCTTTTGGGAGCCGTCTGGGGCTTTAGAAGGGCCTGTTGGGGCTTCTTGGGGCGGAGAGCTTCAAATGTCAGTTCGAATTCCCCCTCGTGGGGCCCTCTTATGCCGTCTTGAGGGCCTCTTGGGTCGTCTTGGGCCTTTGTGGGCCGTCTTGGGGTGATCTTGGGGGCACCGCGCCGTCTTGGAGCGTCGGAGGCCCGAAAAGGCGAGAACATTAGAATCCTTCAAATGTATGAGGGACACACCTTTCGTAATTTAGGCTCTCGAGACCCTCTTGGGGGGCCTCCTGTAATTCTCTTGGGGCGTCTTTGGGGCCCCTGGAGGCCACATGGGGCGTCTTGAAGCAATCTTAGGGCGGCTCGGGGTCCCCTTGGACCGTCTTGGAGGCCTCTTTCAAGGGAGGAAACACCACCCGGACCCGATACTGGGCGTTACTAAACGGCCCTGGGCGTTTACTAAACAACCCTGCCATGTTCGATTCCTTCTTTGGGTGGGTTTACAAAACGGCTTCGGGTTCTTATGGGGGTGGATTTTTCGCCCTGTACTCTTGGGCCCCGCTGGGTACGTTTCGGGGCGTTCCTTCTTGCCTCCAGAGATAACTCGCGCCAGCACGCGCCAAGCCCCGGGTACCGGGGCCCCCTCCCAAAAGTACCCCAATAATTCGCATAGAGAGTTGTGAGGGACCTGAGGACACTCAACCCAGTGCAGGGCTCATGCCGATTCCTCCGATTCGATTCGATTCGATTTCGATGGCGATTTGATTCGACTTCGGATTCCGATTTGGATGCTGATTCCTCACTGGAGGCCTACTAGCCTGCCGATTTCTGCCGATTCGACTTCTACCGACATGGCTGCCGATTTCTGCCGATCCGACTCATTTTGATCGCCGATCCGACTTATCGATTCGATTCTGGGCTCCTCCTGACCATGTGGCAGATCTGTGGCAATACTTCTGAGGGACGGCTGAGGCGGGAGCACCACTCTGCGAAGGGGCGCCCTCCCTCCGTGCAAACCGAGCTTGTTGTTGAAGACGAGCGTTGCGCGGCACCACGGCGAGAGCCCCCTTTTGAAAAGACCCCGCCATCCGTCCGTGCGAGTGTTGAAAATGTTGAAGATTATGAGCGTGCGCTGCGCCAAGATGATATCACCATGTTGAAAACGATCGCGTCCCCCACCCGTGTCACGGTCGGACTGCTTTGAGACGAAAGTGCGTGGCACAAAGACGAGAGGTTTATAGTTTGAAAACGCTTGGCACTCCATCTGCGTCATTGCTGGAATTGCCTAGGATGAGTGAGCGCGGTGCCAAGGCGGGAGCCCGGTTTTGAATTCGATTGACCCTCCATCAGTGCCACTGATGGAAATGCTTAAGATGAGTGTGCGCACCAGTGTCGAGCTTCAAAATCGTAAACGGTGGGGAAGTCTCAGGCGAGCTGCCCGGCCCGCCCTGACGAGACGTTTGGTGGTGTGACAGGGAGACGTTGTTTGTAAGAACGAGCGGTGGAGCATGCATGAGGAGCGGAAGGAGAACGAGGATGAGGTGGCTCCCGACTACTGTCAGAGCGCAACCCTGCGGCTGCTCCGACCACTCGGCGCCCATGGACGGCCCTCGCAGTTGTGCGGGAAAAGCGGAGCAGGCGCGCTGGAACAGCAAAGGAGTGCGAGAGGAGGGGGAGGAAGGAGAGATTTGAGATGAGGATGAGGATGAGTAAGGATGATGGTGACGGTGTCATTGATGATAGTGATGGTGGTGATACTGGCGAGGATAGTGATGATCGTGCGTGTGTGGTGGTGTTGGTTATGCTGGTGAGGATGATGGTGATTCCGACGATGGTGGTGATGATGATGTTTGTGTTGATGATGTTCATCATTATTGTGACTATGATTTCGATTATGCTGCTGATGATGATGAATCTGACGAGTATGATGATGTTGATGATGACGACGCTGATGATGATGGTGATGGTGATGACTAGGGTGATGCCAGTCATGAGGATGATAATGATGATGATCATCATGATGATGACGATGGTGGTTGTGGTGGTGGTAATAGTGGTGGTACTGATGATGACTATGATGATGACGGCGATGGTGGTGGTGAGGGTGGTGATGTGTATTATAATAATGCGAATGACCGTGTTGATGATGATGATGATGAAGATGGTGGTGTTGATGGCGGTGATGCATATGATGATGCTGATAATGTTGATGATGATGTTGATGTTGATGATAATGGTGATGCTGATAACGACGATGATGATGATGATGGCGATGGTGATGGTTATGGTGATGCCTGCCATGATGATGATGGTGATGTTGATGATAATCACATGCTGATGCTGCTGCTGATGGTGATGATGATGACGATGGTGGTGGTGAGGGTGGTGATGGCTATGATAATACTGCGAATGACCAATTTGATTATGATGATGATGGTGGTGATGATGCTGATGACGTTGTTAATGCCGATGATGGTGGTGATGACGGTGATGCGTAAGCTGATGCTGTTGATGATGATGGTGATGATGGCGATGATGGCGATGATGATGACGATGATGATGATGAGGATGATGATGGTGGCGATGGTGATGAATAGGGTGATGCCAGTCATGAGGGTGATGATGATGATGATGATGATGATGATGATCATGATGATGATCATGATGATGATAAAGATGATGGTGATGATAATGGTGATGACGATGGTGGTGGTTGTGATTGTGGTTGGGTTGATGGTGGTTATGATGATGATGTTGATGATGCTGACGACGGTGGTGATGAGGGTGGTCATGGCTATGATGCTAGTGCAGATGGCCATGATGATGCTGATGATGATGATGCTATGATGGTGGTGATGACGGTGATGCATATGATGATTATGTTGAGGGTGTTAATGATGATGATGTTAATGTTGGTGATTCTTATGGTGTTGATGGTACTGATGATGATTATGAGTATGACGACGCTGGTGATGATGACGCCGATCTTAGTGATGATGACGATAATGGTGGTGGTGAAGACGACTGTGGTGGCGGTGAAGAAGGATAGGATTATGATGATGATGGTGATGATGACGATTATGATGGTGATGTGGATGATAATCACGATGCTGATGGTGATGGTGATGCTGATGCTGATACTGCAGATGATGATGATGATGATGATGCTGATGATGATGATGATGATGATGCTGATGATGATGATGATGATGGTGGTGATGGTGATGGTGATGATGATGATGCTGATGATGATGATGATGATGATGGATGCTGATGGTGATGCTGATGTTGTTGCTGCTGATGCTGATGGTGGTGAGGATGATGATGCTGATGCTACTGGTGATGACGAAGCTGCTGCTGCTGCTGATGCTGATGGTGATGATGATGACGATGATGATGATGATGATGCTGATGATGATGATGATGATGATGATGATGATGATGACGAAGCTGCTGCTGCTGCTGCTGATGCTGATGGTGATGATGATGACAATGATGATGATGATGATGATGCTGATGATGATGATGATGATGATGACGATGACGATGACGATGACGATGACTGTGATGCTGCTGCTGCTGATGATGCTGATGGTGCTGCTGCTGCTGCTGCTGCTGATGATGATGATGATGATGATGATGGTGATGTTGATGCTGATGGTGATGATGGTGATGGTGATAGTGATGGTGATGGTGATGCTGGTGGTAATCGTGATGATGAGGACAATGGAAAGGGGGGAGGGGGAGAGGGAGGATGACGGGATGGAAACGATGAGGGGGTGCCTGGAAGGGGGGGGAGGACGGGGGGGGAATGCATGACCAGGAGTGGGAGCACGAGCAGGAGGAGCGGTTGGGAAATTAGCATGATTGTGATGATGAGGGCGATGAGGAGGACGCTTTGCAGGAGAAGGTGGAAGAGCGAGGTCATTAAACGGTAGCAGGATGGACAGGAGAAGGAAGCGGAGGAGACGGAGCAGGAGGATGACGAGGAGAAAGGACGAGGGCCAAATCAGGAGGGAGGAGGGAGGAGAGATCTAGGAGGAGGGGGAGGAGGAGGAGGAGGAGGAGGAGGAGGAGGAGGAGGAGGATGAGGAGGGAGGACGAGGAGGACGAGGAGGAGGAGGAGGAGGAGGAGGAGGAGGAGGAGGAGGAGGAGGAGGAGGAGGAGGAGGAGGAGAGGGGGAGGATGTGTGGGAGGAGGAAGAGGGGAGGAGGAGGGGGGGGGGAGGGGGGGAGGTGGGGGGGGAGGATGGGGAGGGGGAGGAGTGGGGGGAGAAGGAGGAGGAGAGGAGGAGGAGGAGGGGGGGTGGAGGAGGAAAATGGGAGGCGCAGTTGCAACAGCAGCAGGCGCGGAGGAGCAGGAGGAGGCGGCTTGTAGCGTATTGTTGGTTCCCTTGAGAGTAGGCGTGACCTTGTCGATTCGGGTGGCGCATATGGGCTCTCCCATCCTTGAAGGCGATGCTGGCAGGATGAGGGGGAGGTGAAGGAGGACGAGGACGAGGGAGGAGGAGGAGGAGGAGGAGGAGGAGGAAGAGGAGGATAATGAGAGTGAGGCCTCTTGGTGGCCTCTTGTGGCCCTCTGGGCGCATCCTGGGGGCCTCGTGGGGGGCCTCTTGGTGGCCTCTGGGGGCTTGGTGGCGTCCACGGGCCTCTTGACGCTGCGCGCCCAGCGCACCGTTGAAGTGTGCGCATGGCTTCCCGTGCGCGTCCCACTTATAATACGGATGCAGTTTCTTCAACGAAAGCATAGCATCGAAGATGTTGGGCGAGAGACGGAAAATCCGGTAATTTCAGCACCTAGGCATTGTCGATTGCCCCATGGGGTGTTAGACCACTACGTGCACACACAGACGATTGACGCACACAATGTACATTCATGCCGCATTTGACAAACAGCACGTGCGGACACCCACACACGCACACACGCACACACACACAATCACACACGCACACACACAGTGCACCCCCCGCCCTCCCGCCCGCTTACATCATATGTATTTCTAAGCTGCCCCTCGTAGCTTGCACATCCACAGTGCAATATATATATATATATATATATATATATATCGGAGTAGGCCAAGGCCGGGCGGAGGGGGGGGGGGGGGCGGGCAAAAAACAGTGCCATCATCCCCCATGGGCGCCCCCCCGAACCTTTGGGGGGTCACAGACCCCCCGGGACTGGGGCTCGCGGAACCCCCCGAGACGGCCCAAGAAGCCCCAAAGCTGGCCCAGGAGGCACCCAAGACGGCCTCAGGGAGGCCCAAGAGCGCCTCGTTCGAAATCATGTTCCCGGAAGCCTCTCGGGGAACATGATTTCCGGGTTCCGAGGACGCCCGAGAGGCCCACAAGACAGCCCCAGCGAGGCCCAAGAGGGCCCGAGATGGCTTGCCATCCCCGCGGCTTTCCCGACGCCCCGACGGGCTTCCCGACGCCCAGCCCGACGCCCAGCCCGATGTATCCTTTGGGTTGGCCGACGCGACATCCAACGTTTCCTCCCGCAGCTCCCATGGCGGGTGGAGCCGCTGGAGGCGTGGCTGCCAGTGGCGATCCCCACCTTCAAAACGTTCACGGCGAGCGGTTCGATTTAATGAAGGCAGGCACACATGGTCTGATAAACATCCCTCGTGGAGTGAGCGCTGCAGACGCATTGCTTCGTGTGCAGGCCGATGCGCGCCGACTGGGTGGAAGTTGCTCGGTTATGTACTTCGTAGAACTGAACCTTACTGGCTCTTGGGCGGAGGCTAAGCAAGTTGGAGGGTATCACTACAGCGTACGGCAAATCGTCGCGAAGATTCTTTAATGGGTTGTTATCGGTAAGGAGCTGAAAGTCGTCCATGGACGCACGGAGAGTGACATCCAGTACTTGAATGTGTATGTGAAGCACTTAGGGCGATCAGGGTTTGCCGTCGGAGGCTTGCTGGGGGAAGACGACCATAAAGACGCGATGACCCCCCACCGTCGTGTACCAGACACACGGCCCTGACGCACGTGGTGGCGGGTGGCCAGGCTCCTTTCTCCCTCCGAGTTGTCAGTTGCAACGGCAACCTTCGCGTGACCATGGGGGGTATTTTCGAGCGTGAGTGTGTGACAATTGCGCCCCTTCGGGCGACACATGATGCAGTCTGCATCGCTCTTGTGGAGAAACTAACTTTTGGGCATTGGTTTTTGATGGTGATCTGTGACAAAAAAGACAGCCCCAGAAGCTTCGAAGACGGCCGCAAAACAGACCAAGAGGGCCCCACGACGGCGCCAGAGGCGCCCAAGACGGCCCGAGAGGGCACCAAGACCAAGAGGGGGCCAAGAGGGGTAACGCGAGCCGAAAATCCGAGCCTGCCACCCCGAGAGGCTCGCAGGAGGCCCCGAGAAGCCCAAAACAGGCCCCAAGAGGCCCTCAAGAAGCTCCCCAGTGGGCCGAAGAGTTTCCAAGAGGCCTCCCACGAAGGCCCCAAGAGGCAACAATCACTGTTACGCCTTTGGTTTTGGCTTGGTTTTCGAGGTTTCAGCCTTTGGGCAACCCGACGCTCCCAGATGGCCCAAGAGGCCTCCAAGACCGCTCCAAGATAGCCCAA